GTCAATGGTAAAAAAAAACCATTAAAAGTCAAATAAAATGATAAATGTAAAAATCGTGAAATTTCATTAGAAATAAAGGAAAGAGAGAAAGAGAGAAAGAGAGACAGACAAAGGTATATACATATATATAGGTATTATAAAAATATTTATTAAAATATAATATAATAAATGAACAATCTTTTATCAATCACACTTTAAAATAATGTCTTATAAAATATTCATCAAATTTAAATGATGCAAAAGATAAAAAAAATAATAAAGAATGCAAAATATATATTATATCTATAATTTATTATATATTATTATATTATTATTATTATATTAATATAATATAATTAAAATTAAATTGAACAGAATTAAATAATAACACATATAATATATTATATTAATAAATTGATATAATATAATAAAAATATAATATAACACTATTAAATCAATATAATAATATAATAACAACATAACAAAATAACTATAAAATAAACCTAAGAACAAAAAAAAAATTGTAAAAAATTTAACAAAAAAAAAAAAGAAAAGATCTTTTCTGTTTCATCAATCACTTGAAAATATGATATCATAAAAAATATAACGAATTTCTGTGACGTATAAACAGATAATGACAAAAAAAAACAAAATAAGAGAGAAAGAGAATGATTTACGGAAATACAAGAAGCCACGAAAGAGAAGTACACCCCTTTGCAATCCGCAAAATGAAACTGCAATGATTCATTTATGGGTGTCTCATTGTCTGTCAGCAGGAACAAGAACACACTCGTGGTTCTGTATTTATCGTAACTAAAACTGACTCATTTTATATACTCGATCGCTTTGTTATGCACCATTTTCTCTGTTTATCTGTCTCTTTCTTTCTATCTCTCTCTCTCTCTCTCACTCTCTCACTCTCTCTCTCTCTCTCTCTCTCTCTTTTAGATTTGTTATTTTTCCTTTCTCGTTCTTTTTCTCATATTCTTTTTATGGTAGAAAATGTGAAATTAATTGCTGTTCTTTGTCACTAAACTAAGAAAAGTATATTGAAACATCGATTCTGATTCGTTTGTGATTTATATATGATATATGTTTGATTTTACATGTATACATATGTGTATACTACGTGTATTTAAAAAGATTTGAACTTCGTTGAAATTGGATTAAAAAAAAAAATTCCACATTTGATGACGATTTTTTTTTTCTTTTTTTTTTTAAATTCTATCATCGTCAAACGTTGTTATTGACATTTTTTCGTTTTGTTTAATAATAATTATTTATCGTTAAATTATTATAACATGTGTGTGTGTGTGTGTGTAGACACGTGGTTGTGTTTTTGTTGTTGTTCTTTTTTGTTCTTTAAATAATATACAAATTAACATTCATTAAGTACAAATTAGTTAGATATTTCTTCATTCGTTTTATATTTATTTGTTTCAATTAATCACTGTATTTAATTATATTTGTACTTATTACACGTGAAGTATTTTACGAACATTTATATATTTGTAATTGTTAAATAAATTTTATTACAAATATGTTTTCCTTTTTTTTTTTTTTTCGAGCAATTCGCGATGATAATATCGAGAACGTTATAATCGCGCGCGCGCGATCTATCTTGATATGAGATAAATTAGTTTATTAAAACGTTAATCCCCGGTTGTGTTCGATTAAAACGATTTCTTATCTATTATATTATACCTGTCTGTGTAATCGTATATATAAATGTTATAGAAAATCAATTAATTGTTTCCAACTTGATAACATCGAATAAGTTAAGTTTCTTCATATACGATTTTTCAAGTCATCCTCAATAAACGTAACAACCAATGACGATTACGTTTGAACGAATTTTTGCAAATTGTTTTAATATAATAATTAACGTGTAGATTAATATATATATATATATATATATATATATATAATGAGAATCATATTTAAATATCAAAATAATAATAATAATAAATAAGGAAATAAGTAGATAAATAATTGCAGTTGCATGACGTTTTTATTTTAATCATTTATGGTAAATAAATTATAATAATTAATTTTTGAATTTTTTCATTTATCTATTTTTTCTTTTTTTTTTAGTTTGTTTATTTATATTTCAACAATATGTAGATTAGTTTTTTTTTATTCTTAAAAAATTTCAACAAGTCGATTTAATTTGCATATTTTCGCGGATACTCCAATAAAAAAAAAGAAAAGGAAAAAAAAAAAAAGAAAAATAGAAATTCCAGAATTTTCGTTTACCGGACGTGTTCCAATTAATTTCATTTTTTTTACTCTTATATAAATAAATAGCAATAAATAATAAAATAATACTAATATATACGAGTAGAGTTTAATTAATCGCCCGTGTGTGTGTGTGTGTTTTTTTTTTCTTTAGAAAGATATTAACGCTAAATAAAACCGAATATATTTGACTACTTAAGTAGTATGTAAAAGAAAAGAAAAGAAAAAAAAAAAGACAAGAAATTTCAATGATCGTATTTTACATAACATCAATTTATAATATCAAAGAAATAATATAAATAATTAAACGCAGACGTAAAACCGTGGACGTAAAGAAATAGGAAAAAAATGTTACCACAGAACTAGTAACTTTTATATAGTCATTTCTAAAACGTTAAATGAAATACAAAAATTGTACAAATTGCATTAACTTTATCATTAACCAAAAAAATTTTCAATAAAAATAACAATCACAATTATTCACAATTTGTAATATATTCAAACAATAATAATAATAATAAAATATAATACTAAACGTGAATAAGAAATTGCATTGACTGTATCGAAAACACACACACACAGAAAAAGTAAAAAAGGTTGCAAAAAATTCGTGTTTCGTTTGGCAAACCATTACAAACAAATAACTTAACGTGTTCCATTAACCATCGGATAAATAATTAAACATTAAATGAACATTTTCGTGATTGTTTAATTCCTAGTATTTATAATAATAATAATAATAATATTAAATAATAAATAAGTAAAAATAAAGAATTGCATTGACACTAAAAAAAAAAGAAAAAAATCGTAGAAACTTTTAGACGAAGAACGATTGGAGACGATAGTAATGTACATGGTCAGGGGGTGGTAGGGGAAGGGGTTAGATGGTAGGGTAGAGAAAGAGGCATGGAGGGAATGATCGGAAAAAGTTCCCCACTCCTTTGAGACTGAACACCACGGACGCAAAACGTGTCTACGTTTACAGCTGTTCGCCAGTCGTCACCGGACCGCCGTGAGGTCTGGCAAAGGTCATTAACGTTATCTCGCATCTTTTTTTATTTTCTTTTGGTATTTTGTTGTTGTTGTTATTGGTATAATCGCGTCTTAGTGGGACCGTGGTTATATTTATCGGCAATACAAAATTATTTTTGTCATTAATAGTAACAGTAGTAGAGTTAGTAACAGTTGTCATTTTACATAAAATCAATCGTATAGATACATATATATATATATATATATATATATATGTATTTTAATTAATGTGTGTTATATATCGTGAATTATAATAGAATAAAAATAAAAAATAAAAAACAGATGATCGTAGAGAAAATAAAGAAAAAAAAATTAATACAAATGTCCAAGAGAAAAGTAAACTTTCGATGCGCTCAAATAGTGAGGACTATCGTTCCGCGTCTAAACGAGGGACAGTTATTTTCGTGATTTTTGCGGGTGTAGGGACGAAAGTAACCGAGAAGAAGAAGAAGAGAAAAGGGAGAAAGAAAAAGAGAAAGAAGAAGAAGAATAAGAATAAGATAGTGTAAAAGAGAGACAGACAGTAAATAGACTATGAGAGAAATATATGATGTACTGTTAGTGGTTTTTGCCCAGCACCTGTGACATACCACAACTATTATCGGGTCGTCTTATCCCTGTGTGTCTTCTTTCTTCTTCTATTATATGTTTTTTTCCTTTTTTCTATTTTTTTTTTTTTTCATAAAATAACATCTAACATTATTCACGAATTTATCGTAATAAATAACAAACCAAAAATCAAATTCTAGTGAAATTTAAAAACAAAAACATTCATATAAACATACATATATATATATATATATATATATATATATATATATATATATATATATATGTGTGTATGATATTTATACATACATATATGTATATTTATAAAAACTCGTTTAGATTAATTTAAGAAAACATTATAATGAAAAAACAATAGTAAATATATTTATTGATCTCTATATCTATAGATACTCTAGAATTTGAACCAGAAGTTTCATTGGAGAAACAACCGGCACCAGAAGTATCATTTGACGAACAATTGGGACCACAAGTATCATCTAACGAACAATTGAGACCAGAAGTGTCATCTAACGAACAATTGCGACCAGAAGTGTCATCTAACGAACAATTGGGACCAAAAGTGTCATTTGACGAAAAACCGGTACTAAATGTGTCATTTGACGAACAATTGAGACCAATAGTGGTATTTAACGAACAATTCAGACCAAAGGTGTCATTTGACAAACAATTGGGACCACAAGTGTTATCTGACGAACCATTCAAACCAAAAGTGTCATTTAAAAAACAACCGGCACCAACAGTGTCATCTGACGAACCATTCAAACCAAAAGTGTCATTTAAAAAACAACCGGCACCAACAGTGTCATCTGACGAAC